CCACAGTTCTTGTGCATTCTCTACGTATATCACACTCTCAGCTATTTGGGGTGAGAGGGTTTTAATGATCCAAGATAACACCATCATGTTGTTTCTTTCCCAAGAATCAAACAGACTATCACTTCTTTCGGGTCTTGTGATGCCTCCATCTATGAATTTCAGTTTGTTCTTAGATAAGAGAGCCCTTCTCATGTTTCTACTCCAATAAGTATAGTTGGTTTCATTCAGGACCTGAGATATGAGGGAGGTGCCTGGGTTCTCCCCTTGGTGTAAGTAGTAGGGACTGACTGGGTTCTCCATTGTTAGCAAGAAAATTTCAAAGAACCAAAGAAAGATCAAGAAGAAGAAGGATGTGCAGCGGAATCAGTGGCAGAACAGGTCCAAGACCTGCTCTGGTACCATAAAGAAAAACTGGTGGCCCAGCAGGAAAAGAAACGGCCCACAACTTGAGGCCCAGTAACGTGAGACAAAAATCTCACTGGAAGCTTTTGATGGTCAGAGGTTTGGTGAGAAGGTGTTAGTGAGCCAGCTGCGAAAAGAAGAGAGAAGTGGGATCTCCATGTTCGTCCAGCAAGAGCACCGCGACGGTGGTGGATCGGAAGGAGGACGACGGGAGAAACAACCCGCGACAGAGGTAAGCCTCTTAAACTGAACAGGGATAAGAGAGAAAAGAGAAAAATCGTATATTATATGAATATGTTTTGTTATTGTATTACAGATGCTGGAAACCTTTATATATGGTTCCGGTAAGGCAGCAAAAGCTGTCAAACTAACAAAACCCCAAATTAGAAAACCTAGAAAACGCAAATACTGTTTACAGGAACAGTAAACCAAAACAGAAACATCGAATACATTCAATATGTATTATGTAAATAATAAAGTTTCTAAGCTCTTTTACTGTCTTTTTCTCACCACTGCTCACATATGAGAATTATTATAGTTAGTTTTGTGTAATGAAAATGAGGTTGTTAACAAAGAACAAAGATTCGTTGATCGCACGATTGTAGAATCACTAAAGAATCATGCAATTTTTCTTTTATGGTAATGAGATAACATGTTTGTTCTTAACTAGCTAATAAAGTTGATGAATATGGAGATTGGACAGTCCATTCTTTGGCTGGAGAAGGGAGGGAGCTTTGCGAGCGTTTTTCAAGTGCTGATGTTTTTAGAATCTTAGAAATTCAAGAGGAAATCTTTAGTTAGAGGCAAGGTGGTAACTTTGTATTAAAATTTTACACTACATTGAAAATTCTATTGGATGAATTAGATGTTTTGAATTCCCTTCTTGTTTGAACATGCAACCCCAAATGTTCATGTGGTGTACTCCAGAAAATTCAAGAGGAGAAAAATAAGAATGAAGTGGTTAAATTTTTGCGAGGGTTAAATGATCAATATTCAAGTGTTAGATCACAACTGATGCTCCTAGATAATTCTCCCAATGTGAACCGAGTTTTTGCACTGATTGCACAATAAGAACGACAATTTACCATTGAGAGTGTTTTTATGCCAAAGGCTCTTATTGTGGCTAGCAATGAAGCTTTAGATTCCAAGAAAAATCAAGGGAATGACAATGTTTGGAATAACATATACACTTCCAAGAAATGTTCGTGGTGTGGAAGAATGAGTCACACAATTGACGTTTGTCATAGGAAACATGGTTTCCTTACTGATTTTAAGTTCAAGAATTCCAAAACCCCTACTCCAAGGTCTGCAAATATGGTGGTAATCGAAGAAAATGAGACCAACTGTCCATAAGATTCATCAAGAAAAGACACACAAGGAACTGCATGGTTTGGTTTTACTACAAGCCAATATCAAAATCTATTGGTTGTACTGCCACAACAAGATCAGAGAGACTCCACACCACCCACTGCTCAAGTGAATGCTTGTACTAAGTCAACTCCAACAAGCAATGGTAATATACTAATCTCTAGATGGATCCTAGACACTGGTGCCACGAATCACATCTCAAATTCCCTTAGTTACTTTACTACATATAGACACATACTACCTGTCAAAGTGTCCCTACCCAATGGTACCTTAGTTTCAGCCACCATTTCTGGCATAATTCACCTTTCATCCAATTTTGTTTTATCTGATGTGTTATTTCTCCTAAGCTTCAAATTCAATCTGTTATCAGTTACAAAATTAACTCAAACCCTTCATTATAAGTTGACTTGCTTTAATGATATTTGTTTAATACAAGATTCCAATGTTTGCAAGATGATTTACATAGCTAAAGTAGAAAGAGGTCTCTACATTTTCACTCAGACAACCGACTCTTCTCAACCCTCTATTATTTGAACCACCATTTCAGAAAACTTTTCTTGTAGTTTTTCTTCTAGTCTGCCCAATTTATAGCACTATATATTGGGTCATCTATCTTTTGATAGAGGTCAAGCAATTAATAAAGTGTTTCCTTTCATTCATTGTAATAAAAATCATGTTTGTGATATATGTCATATTGCAAAACAAAGAAAGCTGATTTTTCCCTTAAGTTCTTTATTCACTACTGTAATATTTGAGTTGATTCATGCTGATATGGGGGGTCCAGTTTCTGTGATGTCCATACATGGTCATTCTTATTTTCTTACCATAGTTCATGATTACTCTAGACACACTTAGATTTATTTGCTAAAGAATAAGGCAGAAATTAGACCTTTATTTGCTTAATTTGGTTCCATTTATCTGTTGTGTGCATTGATGTTATGTTGATCTTTTAACATGGTTATGTTTCTGAAAATGGTGTTAGAAGGAAAAGCATATTTATCTTTTAGCACAAACGTCTTAAGTTATAATTAAAAGTTATAAAAGTTATAGTGTGGTTCTGCTAAGATTGGAGGCAGTGTTTCAATGAAAAGGTACAAACGTCTCAATTTGTCTTTTGCAATGGTGAAGCTATCAACCACATAAATGTTGTCAATTACTATCCATAAATCTCCAGGAATGATCCAAAATGGGCATGACTCAGAAAGATCAACATATTCTAGTTTTATATAGTGCTTGAGATTAATGTAAATTCTATGAAGTTTATGTAATTTGTGCTTATCAGTTCACTTTGAAACCATTTCATATGATTGTGCTTATTAGTTGACAGTTCATTACAAAGAGTATTTTGGCCAAAAATTTCAATCAATACTTTGAATTACTTCTTTTCCAAAAGTTACAAACAATACAAACTTTTATAGTCAAAATAACTTTGGTTCATTGCATCCTAAGTACATTCCATCATAAGTACAATGAAATCATTCCTATGAACAAAAAAACACTATTGTAAGTACAATAATGTTCACCACAACAAGAACACAGACAATCCCTAACAAGAACACATCCACCTTCCATTGCTTCTCTGTTCAACAAAGACTCAGACTTGCCTTCACACTTTGCACTCGTTTCCGTTTCAACAACCCCATGATCTGCACACCATGTGAAATAATTGCAACCACCGTCTTCACCACCATTCTGTGACAAGAAAACACCAATCAGGGCACCCTCGAACTCAAAATAAGAACAACGAAAAAACCACGAAAAAACCTTACCTTGAACTTAGGGCAGCCCCAAAATTGCTTGCCTCTGTTCTTAACTGTTCTTGTAGTTCTGACAACACATTTCATCCCACAATAGCAAAACGGACCACCATTGCTACATCCTCCTCGAGCACCACCACAGACCACATTACTGTCTTGCTTCCGCCACCCACTGCATGACGAAGACGAACAGGGATGCATCTTCAAGCACAACTTGGATTAAACCCTAAATCCCCAAAATGATACCCTAATTTATGAAATGGATTGAACTTTGGACGAACTCTAGAAGAACTCAGAAGAATCTCAATCCCTAATTCGATAAAATAACAATCTCAATCCCAATTTTGGTTTAAAACTTTCATTTTCTTTTTATTTAAAAAATTGAATTATCGATGTCAGTTAAGAAACTGACTTCAGTCAGCCACGTCAGTTAAGAAACTGACTACAGCGTGTCACATCAAACACACACTAACGCCGTTGGAGACAATTTAACGGAAATGATCCAATTGTTGCAATTTTCATAAATTTGGGACCCAATTGAGATTTTCATAAACAACGGGACTAAATTGAGATTTCACGCGAAAATAAGGACTTCGTGAATGATTAAACATTTTTTCTTTTTAAATTTAATTTAATGTTTAAAAATACATGAAACTGTGAACTTTTTTTCTTCTTAATAAGATATAATAGGAATACAGGTTTTATAACTTTATGTGAATACTTTTTTATCATACCAACACAATCAAGTTTTAAGAATTTTAATGCAGTAAATTTTAATTTTGTTTTTCACAATAATTTATTTGATATTTTTAATTAAAATATTAGATAGATTCATAAAATTTATTAAAACATATATTAATAAGTTTTTGAAATTCTTAATTTATATTCTAAGTTTTAATAATTCAATCAATAAAAGTTCGTATTCCTAATTGATTTGTTAACTTTGAGGTATTATATTGGTAAATGAAAAGAATGAGTGCATTGACTATTCTATTTATTACAATAAGAGTAAGTTTATTATATTATATTCTCTATAAATTAAATATTTTTAGTTTGAAAATATATATGTGTAATTATTAATCCTAAATTGGTAATATATATTTTAAGTAACGATTGAATACGATCGATGCATAATTTGTTTGATTTGAATAGGTCTTTCAAAATTCGTGGTTTGTCAAGTAATGTTACGATCGGTTTCTCTAGTCAAGTCGTTGCAATTAACTATACTTTCTTGGTTAACACAAAATTTCATTAAATCTTAATTACGGGATGTGAAACTTTTGTATAGACTCCAATTACTATAAATAGAGTTTCTCTCCATTATATTCAAGTCATCCATCGTCCCCTTCATTTCTTTTGAAAATCATGAGTAAATTTCTCTCTCAAAATGCAATCATTTTTGTATGGTTGCTATGCGGAATCATCTTCAAAACTGCCTTTTGCAGCTTCAATATCCGTTGCAACCAACGAGACATGCACGCTCTCTTAAACTTCAAGCAAAGAGTGACAGATTCCTCAGGTGTCCTTTCCTCATGGACAATTGAAGTAGATTGTTGTGATTGGAAAGGAGTGATGTGTAGCAACATCACAAGTAGAGTCACTGGAATCAGTCTCCCATGTTCTACAACTCTTCCAATTTACAGTGACGGAGAAGACAAATTACATTGCCTTACAGGTTCCATTCACCTCTCCTTGTTGTTAGTGGAGTTGGAATTTTTAGATTACTTGAATTTGAAAAACAATGACTTCTTAGCATTACAATTTGATTATCTGCATAATCGTAATTGTCATAATCTATCTATACCTACTTCTTCTCATAGTCAGTGTATCAACTCTTCAACCCTCCGTCATCTTGATTTATCACTTAACTGGAATCTTGCCATCAATAACCTTAAATGGCTTCCCTACATTTCCTCACTGGAATATCTTAACCTCCGTGCCATTGATCTTAGCAAGGAAAGTAATTGGCTTCAATTAGTGACCATGCTTCCATCACTTTCATTCCTCAATATGCGTGCTTGTCGACTTAAAGACTTGAGTTTGTCTCTTCAGTATGCTAATTTTACTAAACTCGAATTTCTTAGTCTTTCTGCAAATGAATTTAACTCAGAGTTGCCTAAGTGGTTATTCAATCTTAGTTCCACTATCTATACTTTAGACCTTAGCTCAAGTTCTCTAATAGGACATCTACCTAAGGACTTGTTAAATCTTCGAGAACTAGAAGACCTGATTATGGAAGACAATAACTTTGATGGACCCATTCCAGATTGGTTAGGTGATTTCGAACATTTAGAAACTCTTGTTCTTGGAGTAAACAACTTTTCAGGATCTATTCCCACAAACTTGGGAAATCTATCAACCTTGACTACCTTGGACGTTGCCTCAAATCCATTGACAGGAGTTGTGTCTGAGAAAAATTTTGCTAAATTGTCGAAATTAAAGGAACTGGACATATACTCATTCCACGTTAATCTTTGATTTTGACTCGGACTGGATTCCACCATTTCAACTTGAGGAATTAGTACTCGGGTTTTCAAATCCCAACCTTCCTGCGTGGTTTTATACACAACAATATCTTGAAAGATTAACTATATGGGATTCATCATTTGAGGCTCCAGACAAATTTTGGAATTTGGTATCATCAGTGATTGAACTCGAATTAGAAGACAATTTGATAGACGGAGACATGTCAAATGTGTTGTTGAACTCTACAATCATTGATATATCATCAAATCATTTGAAAGGTTGCTTGCCTCAATTATCAGCAAACGTGGTTATTGTCTCATTATCAAATAATTTATTATCAGGAGAATTGTCTCCCCTCTTATGTGGTCATAATGTGTCGAATGGGAAAAACAATTTGTTGTATTTGGACATATCATTGAATAATCTATCTGGAGGACTTACGAATTGTTGGAAGAATTGGAAATCTTTGGTTGCTGTTCACTTGGGAAGCAATAATCTATCAGGAAAGATACCTCCATCACTGGGCTTCTTATCTAATCTCACCTCACTCCATTTGCATGAGAATAAACTACATGGTGACATTCCTCTCTCATTGCATAATTGTCGCTCTCTGTTGGTCTTTAATGTTCGCAATAACCAATTATCAGGAAACATACCACTTTGGATATCTCATGGTGTATTGGCTCTCCAATTAAGGTCCAATCATTTTAGTGGTAAAATCTCACCACAAATATGTGAAATGTCTTCCCTCATTGTGTTGGATATTGCACAAAACACAATCTCCGGTCATATACCCAGTTGTCTTGGTAATATCAAAACCCTACTTTTCAACAATGTTTCACGCCACAAACTTTCTTTTGAATTTCCTTCATTTGGTGATCGTTACTTAATCAATGACGACAGTCTTGAATTGGTTACTAAAGGTCAAGTGTTACAATATGAAAAAAACCTACACTTTATGACCTTAATTGATATGTCAAGCAACAATTTGTCCGGAACAATACCTCCACAGATGTTTAGTCTCGTTGGATTGCATTCCTTGAATTTATCCAACAACAAATTAGCAGGAAAAATACCAAATGAGATAGGAAACATGAAAAACTTAGAGTCCCTCGATTTTTCTACAAACCAACTTGGGGGAGAAATTCCTCCGAGCTTATCTAGATTGTCCTTTTTGGGTTACTTGAACTTGTCATTCAACAATTTGACAGGCAAAATACCATCAGGCACACAACTTCAAGGGTTCTCTGCACTTAGTTACATGGGCAATCATGATCTTTGTGGACTCCCACTGACCAAAACGTGCTTTCCGGATGATAAACATAAAGACAGAGAGGTTGTGCATGAAGGTGGAAATCAATTTAAATTTTTGACATGGTTTTACATCGGAATGGGATCTGGATTTGTGATAGGCTTTTTGGGAGTTTGTTGTACTATTTTCTTAAACCAAAAAATTGAGACATGCTTCCTTTAAGTTTCTTTATGACTTGAAATACCGGTGACAAACATTAATCGCTTCGGTTAAGATCAAACAAGTTAGATAACAATACCGGTGAGTAGATCTTTTCTTCTTTTATACAAATTTTATTTTAATTTATCTTTAAATAGTTGTTCTTCACCATTACTAAAATATACTTTAGGTCTTCATTTATTTTTAATTATTGATTATTCTTTATATATTTTTAAATTATAGTAATATTTATATCTAACTTATTTGAACACATATTAATATAAGTGAATTGACTTTAGAATGAAAACCATATATTAGATTTCTCAACTCACATATGTCATAGGGTATCTTAACTTTTAAGGTTTTTGCTTTTCAAATTCTATTATCTTTTAAGTGATTAAAGTAGAATGGGTGAGTAGATCAATTTGCTTTATTTTAGTTTAATCTTATTTTTTATTTATCAAAATTGGGTCGGTGAAAAGCAATTATAGGAAAAGTGAAAATATATTAGAATAATGGAAAGAAGAAATATCAATTTAAGATGTTTTATGGTGTATTAAAATTTTTAAGTTGCTAACTTTTATGATAATGAAACCTTTCCTATTAATTTAGCTATTCTTATAAAATTCTTTCATTATTATATCTTAGGTATTTTTCATTCATAAAAAGGGAACGAGTCATCAAGCTTAGGAGAAGAGAACATGGTGGTGTAGTTGTCACAAGCAATGTCAGCAGTGATGAACTTAATATTTAAATTTGGTTATTATTAATAGTAGCTGTATTTGTTTTCTCTGTTTAAGTAAGTTACAGTGATGGTTTTCAACTTTATCTTTTGTTTTTCGTTTGTCTGGGTTATGCAAAACTGTTATATAAGCGTGTTAATCTTTGTAACATTTAATTGAAAGTATGTTGTATGTTTTATGTAACGCTTAACCATGGAGTTCTTATGGGTCAGGCTACCGAAAAACAAATGCATTTGGTAATAAGAATAGCCAAATCAATCTCTTTAAGCTATCCTTCAACTGTCAAATATTTATTTAAAAAATAATTATATATTTTTTAAATTTTGAGAGTGTTTCGGGTATAGGGTTGAAGTCCCTTACTCAAAGCACTCCTAATTGTATTGAAGATCGAATGGACGTTGAAAACCGAACGGACGTTGCTCAAAACGCTTCAAGTTGTACTACTCGTTCTTCCTCCTCCTTCTCCAAGCCGGACGGGCGGACACCTGTCAAAGGCGCTCCGACTCTCAAGTTAGTAATGTAACCAAGCAGTTAGCACAACAAGTAATGCATGTATATTGTGCATCATGCCTAAAGTCATGCATGGGACCTTTACCTTTCGCTGGCCTAATGACGGCCCAATTACACCGTAATCTGCATTAGAAATTTAATGAGTCATTACTAGCATCCATGGGAGGACGTCCTGGGAGGACGGTGGACGACCTGGGAAGTTGGCTTGGGCGGACGACCATGGGAGGACCGTAGGGGAGGGCGGCCGTGTGGGAGGACCGTACGGTACACAAGCCCCCTTAGCTCGAGCATGATGTTATTATGCGAAGGGGTTTAGTACATGACCTTCCTGATAGGGACGGGTTCTCCGGTTGGCTTTTTTTTCTGTCCTCTCTGTTCATTGATCACAATGGATGGTTGGAAAAACGGTCTTGCCTTTGCTGGCTGAGCTAGATATGCTATTGATCCTTCAATTAGGTCGGCTGGGATTCCTTTGATGAAGATCCAATATCGCCGACCTTCGGTGAGGCCGGCCGAGATTCCTTGTATGAGGATCCACAGTCGCCGACCTTGGGTAGGCTCGACCGAGATTCCTTTGATGAAGATCCACAGTCGCCGACCTTCGATGAGGCCGGCCGAGATTCCTTTAGTGAAGATCCACGGTCGTCAACCTT